GTGAAGTGTGCAGATAGGCTTTCACTGATATTGATAGTGATGAAAACTAGCTTATTCGGTACGGGGTAAAATGGGTGGGGGATATGTGATAGCCAGATTGGGTTGCATTCAGTAGTAATGACCTGCCTGTCTTAAAAATCAGCATTTTGAACACATCGTCTTTTTACCCGAGCTCTAACACAGGGTCATTGGCGTCTGTGTATATTGATCTTCTAAGTGTAGCTTAGATGTGGCAAAAGGCCGAAGGTATGGGGCACCCAATGAGGATCGAACTCACTACTCAGTCGTAATTGTTCTAGCGAGACAAGCTTGTTAATCATTACGCCACGCCGAGGTGCCCCGATTTTCCAAGCGTAGCTTAGATGTGGCACAAGGCCGAAGGTATGGGGAACCCAATGAGGATCGAACTCACTGCTCAGTTGTAATTGTTCTAGCGAGGACAACTCACTGCTCTTGTAATAGATTACTCCAACCATTACCCCACGCCGAGGTGCCCCGATTTTCCAAGCGTAGCTTAGATGTGGCACAAGGCCGAAAGTATGGGGCACCCAGTGAGGATCGAACGCACTATTCAGTCGTAATTGTTCTAGCGAAACAAGCTTGCTCCCCATTACACCGCCTCGAGGTGCCCCTGGCGCCTGTGTATACAACGTAACTGATTTACCCACGAAATCTGTTAAAAAATTGAAATCACTGAATTAGAATTTAAATTAGAATTTTTTAAAATCATTTCTCTTCAACAAAGCCACTTAGTCGCACGGAGTTACTGAGTGTAAAAAAAATATAAGAAAAAGAAAAACATTATTAAGGTGCAAGAAAAATAAAAGAACAGAAATTAAGAACATCGAAGATAACGATTGACATTGCACATAAACTTTTCGTTATAATAAGTCAATAGTTTTTCAACTGTAGATGACGAAAGATTGGTAGCTGATCTCTCCTCTGAGCGAGCTCTTACAGCTCAGTGGGTGAAGAAGTGACTGGTCACATTCAATACCCTCGAAAACCGAAATATTGAAAAGGTATTTCAGAAGAAAAGGTATTAACCTTCTCACTGAGGTGAATACCTTGAGCGCCTCTTGGGACTTGAACTTAACCCATACCTCAAGTGCAACTCGCACATACGATCCATCTCTGGAAAAATGGTCGGCTTCCTGTACCGCTCCAGTAAGTACCTGAATCCTCCTGCTATCCTCTCCCTTAACAAGAGTCAGATCAGCCCCCAAATGGAGTACCGATGCCTTATATGGGCAGGAGCTGACCAGTTATCAATTTCAACTCTCGTAGAGTTTAAAAGCTTCTTCGAATCCTTTTAGGTAATAAATTATTTTCCACCCTACAACCTCTTTCCTCACAGACGAAACTTTCCGAGACTCTCGCTGCTCTATCGCTATTTCCATGAAAAGTGCGCAGACGAACTACATACCTTAATTTCACAAATTCTTTTACGGCTAAGACCCTCCATGCCACCCACATTGTAGCGAACCACCCTCATTTCATTCGTATTCAATTGGTAAGTTCCACTCGAGCAGCGTATTCCCACGAACCACTGTTTTGTGAAATCGACTCCCAAGAGGATGCTTCTCCGATCATGACAAACTTAACCTGATCAAGTCCAGTGTCAACCGTTATCTTCCCCATATATCCGCTTAAACTGTGTTTCTTACTCTGTAATGATTCTCGGGTCTTGTACAGGGTGAACATCAATGTAAAAAAAGAAGATATTTTCAGCAGGATCCACAGGTTCTCCGTGAAAATAACCAGCGTTGTTGAGTTAAAAACATCACTAGGTAATGTGTTTCTCCTGTCCATCAGCCTTAAGGCAAAGAAGATGGATCTTGTAACTGTTTTCGAGTGCCGTTTCATCAATTTGTGATACTGACCTCGCACCCTCCTGTTTGAGAAGATGGAGAAATTGTTTACTTCCGTTTTATAATAGCCATTCATTACGTTGTATAACTTAAACAGTTTCGTTTGGTTTGTGTTATGGTCCAAGTTCCTTGCAACACGGTGATGGTCCAAGGTTAGAACCAATGAAAGAATAACACGAACCCAGGTATGGAATACAAAGATATATTACAACAGAAATATAATACAAAGAAGTAGAAGTATTAGTAATGACTATCAGATTAGGTTAGAGTGAACTATGTTGTCTCGACAAGTATCACTATTCCAATGTCTTTACAATATGCTCTCAATTATCTCTCCTTGTCTTACAATCTCCTCAGACCTCTTGAGAGGTGCAGTATTTATAATGTCAGGAATAGTCCATTCTTATTATGGGTAGGTTCCCATAACAGTTTGTTTGCGGCATACAATGGGTCATTTAATGCCAATATTTCTATTGCAGCTAATATTTTTTTTCAAAAATGTATTGCTAGTAATATTTTTTTTTTCAAAAATGTATTGCTGGTAATATTCTTTTTTTTAAAAAATGTATTGCTGGTAATATTCTTTTTTTTCAAAAATGTACTGCTGGTAACTTTTTTATTTTCAAAATTTTCTTACTGGTATTAAAACCCATTTTTACATTGTGTTTTGACACCAGTTTGAGGTTTAACTATTTGCCCATAGCTGGGACCCTAACAGGAACTATCACCCCGGGTCAGAGTGGGCCTGGGGACACCAGCAATTAAGAGGCTGTCCCACGCTTCTCAAAACCTCCTGATCAGGGACCCTGCTGCCGGGTGTAGTTTATAGTCATACCCAGGGCGTACATAGGTCGGTGAACTGATGGAAGAGACGGTAGCTTGATTTCGCCTGCAGTTACGCTGAACGTGCCTACAATACAAATACGTTTAGATGGAAGCATAATTATGGTTCTGTGAATAATTGCGTAGAATTCGCGTGATGGTTATAATATTTATAAAATTAGCTTAATTAGACAAATGGTTGAAATGGATTTCAGGAAGATTGTGTTACGCCAATCTTCAAAACAGGAAAGTCTTGCCTACCTATAAATCCAAAATTCAAATTTTCGCAAAAATGGATACATTTTTGTTTTGTTTGTTTAACGGCATATCAACTCCTTATGGGTCATTTAATATCGAAATTTAATTTTCTTGGGAGATTTGAAGTAATAAAAAAAGTATGTTATTCTCCTTTCACAATTGAGTATATGGTAGATGATACTCAGCTTTTTTGTATATACATGTCTTTGTGGACATACTTACTGGAAGCGGTGATATATGTGTTTTATGTTGTTTGTTTAAAGTTATATTTTGGAATACAGTTTGATTTCTTTAAGTGATTGTAGAATATTATATGGATTAATGTTATGAAAGAATTTTTTCATGGTGGTTGTTTGATTGATTCGTTTAGCGGCATATCAACATTTCTATGGGTTATTAATCCCGAAATCTAAATATTTTTAACGCGGTTGCATGCCTTCAATTATAGATAAAACGGTATTGTTGATTATATTGTGTTATAAAATTTATTGTTGGTCATTCCATTATAAAAAGGTATTGCTGGTCATTTTAATATAAAAATGTATTTTTATACTTTCATGGTGTTTTGCTTTTGTTTGGAGGCTCACTATTTGCCCATAGCTGGGACCCTAACAGGTGCTATCACCCCCCGGGTCAGGGTGTACCTGGGGACAACAACAATTAAGAGGTGGTTGCACGCTTCTCAAAACCCCCCCAATCTCCCCATCAACGGTCTAAACATGGATAAATTTGTCTGAAATAAGACATAATGTGAAAAGGACGGTTTTTCCCATAACACCGTCACTCTTCGACAATGTTTATTGTATCAAAAAGCGATTATTAGAATTGTAATAAAACCTAAACATATGATAAAAGTGAATGTTTGATTTTCAAAAATTTTAATGCAATGTCAATCGTTAATAATGTTTTTCTTTTTTTTCCTTATTATTTCACACTCAGTAACCCCTTGTGTCATAGTGGCTTTAGTGAGTTCCTTGGGGCGAAATGATTAAAAACAAATGCGAATACGAATCGGAATAGCAAAAGATGCCTTCCAGAATCTATGCAAAGTATTAAGATGTAGGAAAATTTTGTTAGAAATAATGAAACGATTGCTGAAAAGATTGCTATGTAATATCAGTCCTCCTATATGGTAGTGAATGCTGGACAATTTCCTCACAGATGAAGAAGGGATTCAAAGCAAGAGACGGAGGCATGGAAAGAAAATATGAAGAATGAGGAAGCTTTGAAGAAAATAAGAACTAAAAGTACACTTATGCTTATAAATAGTTGAACATTTTATGAGGAAAGAGGGCTTGGAAAATCTAACACTGACACTGCATAGTGAAGAAAGTCGGGGTTGAGAGAAACAGCGAGTAACCTAACTAACAAGTTTTTTTTTTGTGATTGGATGGGAGAGCGAGAAAAGAAAGGAAGGGGTGGTAAAGAGTCAGACGTTGTTGAGAGCTGCAGGCTGTGAAGATCCATGACCGCCGACGTTCCGAAGAGACACTCTCCACATGAAAGAAGAAATCAGGATTGCGTGTTATCAGTCGGTAAAAGTGTTGTTATCGCACGCATCTACGCCCAGACATTGATGAAAGAACGGTACCAGCTTATCTTTGCTGAGCTGTAGACATTACCGTGTACAAATGTAATCACAAATAGACGTATGGCATTGTCGGGGCGCATTCTTAGGGACATACTTGGAATGATAGAAACGGAATGGCTCTTGAAGGGCGCGCGCCCGCACACACACATACACAGCCACGTACACACACACATACCTATCCATACACATATCCATATCCATACACATATCCACAGGTACACAGACACGTGCGCGCTCCCTACTGTACACGCACACGCAAAGACGCGTACACACATTCACGAGCACACACACGCACTCACCTACACACTCATACACAAATCCACAAGCACATATACAGGCGTTCCCCATCCCATACGCACGCAAACGCCCAAAAACGCACACCTAAATACAGGCGAGCGCGCATGCATACACACATGCGCAAACACAGGTACACACAAGCAAACATACACGTAGGCAGCTTACGGCCACATTACGTTGAAACAACAGTTCTCGTACGATCACCGAAGTTAAGCAACGTCGAGCTGGTCAGTATCTAGATGGGTGACCGCTTGAGAATACCAGGTGTTGTAAGCTTGGATGTGCCATTGGTATGGCTTACGGTCATATCAATTTGAAAGACCAGTTCCCGTACGATTACCGAAGTAAAGCAACGGCGAGCCTGGTCAGTAACTAGATGGATGACCACTTGGGAATACCTGGTGCTGTAAGCTTGGATGTGCGGGTGGTGTAATGCTCAGAATTGTTAATCGGAGTGCCGAGTTCTAATTCCCGTTGGGTTTGTTATATTCGATTATTCGCAAATACCCTTGGGAAAGGCATGAATCCACCTCTTCTTTCCCTAACTGTTCGTAAGACTTGTTATCAGACAGTTATGTGCAATACACCCTTAGGCGATCATCTTTCGATACATGACTGACGAGGCAGTTTTTTTTTCCCCGCGGTAGGTAGCCATTTCTTTCTGCGGTAGACCAGTTGCCATCCAAGGCTATAGAACCCGGTCAGTCCCGCTACAGCTTAGAAAAAGAGGATTCATATCTTTCCCAAGGGTATTAGCACGTAAGTGAATCTACTGGATTCAACTAGAATTCGATTCCGTTACCCATTACTCCACCGAGCCTCCTAAGACTTGTATTACTAAACACAGATTATTTTTTTAAAAAATTTTAGATTGTAAGAAGTTTTTTTTGTTTGTTTTTTTTTGGAAAGACTTGTATCAGTAAACCCATTATTATTTCCCAAAAACAAACAACCAAAAAAAAAAAAAAAAATTTCTTGGCTTTAAATAAGCTGCACATTTTCCTGGCTTTAAATAACCTTGATAAGCCGTTGAAAACAAATCACTAAAAACACCTTCGCGTATGGGCGCACACACATACCTCCACATGTACCCCTCACACAGATACACTCCACACAACCATCAATAATTCACTGAGGCTTATATGTATTGAATGCCTTCCTCTTTGGGTTCATCTTGGTTGTCATAATCCCAATGTTTTAAAACAACCCGTTAAACAATAGTGACAATGCTTTGTTTAAATTCGGGCAACTTAAAAAAAAAAAAAAAAACTATTACAAGTATAAACAAACAATATCCCGTGGTAATAGGGACGGATAACGAATTATGTTATTCTATGTGCCCCGTCCCTTCAGGATATTGTCGTTCATGGCTCTTCACAACTTCCCATCCTATATAGCTCCCAGTACCGTTTCTCTATAGGTTGTCTCTCCCAATCACTGTTCTGATATCCATTTACACAATCTCGTTTCTCGTTGTTCCTACTGCCTTCAGTATGTCTTGTGAGAGTCGCATTCTCCAAGCCTTCTTTCCTCTAGAAATGTTAACTGACTGTCTCTGATTTTAAGTAGAAATACATTTTTTTTGGTTTCGATTTTTTCTTAAAATTTCCTCGTTACTCTCCTGTTGAGTCCATGGAATTCTCAGCATCCTCCTGCAGAACTACATCTGTGTTGCCTCAAGATTGTCCTGTATAAGCTGATATTGCATAATAGTTCAGTACTCTTTTCTTTCTTTCTAACGAAATTTTCCTATTTCTTAATACTTTGTCTATGGATAAATTTGATGTTTTGCTTTTTAATGGAATAAAACCTGTATTCCATTTAAAATGATGAAAGTGAATACGGGTTCGGTGCCTGTCGGGCGGTGCATCTTCTTTTGTAAATCTTTCGGTTTTTACGCGGTAGGCATTAATTTCACTTTCACTATTAAAAAACAGGAATGTCTACTCAAAAACATGTATCCACTTATGAAAATAATAAAGAACAAACAGTAATAAGGCTTACGGCCATATCATGTACGATCACCGAAGTTTAGTCAGTGCTGCGATGGATGACTGCTTGAGAATACCAGGTGCTGTAAGCTTGGATGTGTGGGTGGTGTAATGGATAATGGCTCGGAATTGTTCATCGGAGAGCCGATTTCCAGTTCCCCTTGGGTTCGTTATATTCACTTACGCGAAAAATTCCCTTGGGAAAGGCATGAATCCACTTCTTCAGCCCCCCCCCAGCTATGACTTAATTAGTAAGACTTGCATCACTAGATACTTGTATCAATTGTATCACTTATGCACCCCCCCCCAAAAAAGATTAAAATTGCGTAAAAAGTATTTTGAGTTCGGCATTAAACTTGTATCACTTGTATAATTTATACCCCCACCCCACTAAAAAAATTAAAATTAAAATTGCGTAAAAAATATTTTGAGTTCGGCATTAAATAACCATAGAGATGTTAATATGCCGCTAAACAAAAACTACCAACAACCAATTAAACATTAATAATGACAATACATTCTCTCAAAAGTTAGGGCAACAGTACTATTATGTCTAATACTACTCGTGTAAACAAACAATATCCCGTGTTAATCGGATCGAATAATGAATAACGTATCTTTATAGCTAAATTTGAACCATGTAGGTAAGCTTTACAAACCTAATCGCCAGAGCTCTCTCGATCACACAGACTTCCAAAGATATGTTTAGATAGTTCAAGTCTCGTTGGAAGCTAATAATTATTTTCCAATATAGATTAAAGTACTTAACAATTGTAGAATGTGAAAACAATCGGAGCGTTGCAACGGAATAAGATGGACGGGAAACCCATAGATGTTTACGAAGGGTGCAGAAAGATTTTCAGCACCTTACCCACTACGGTCAGATTTTGGGATGCTTGTTAGGCCGAGAACTTTTCAGCAACCACTTGCAAGTATTTTATGCTTTCTTATACGAACCTGCGTATTCATTTTGATTGTTATACTCACGACGTTTCTGTCGTTTTAAGCTCCGGTCTTCATCAGGTGTATGTCGTCGTGCTCATTGGTCTTGGAAATTTGAACCGAATTTATTATTCACTCAATGGGTGTAGATTGCTTCCATTCCACTTTTCATGCTCAGTGGGGATAACTCATATCATTACTAGAGCCAGGAATTGAACTCAGAGCATGGATTTAATTCACAAGACCATGTTCAATAAAGGATATCCAGTAGGCACATGACTTATTGGATTAAAATGTTGATTAAATCTGGGTAAAAAAAGCGTTTAAAATGAATTTAAAAAATGAAAAATCTTTCTTTAAGCTTTTAGTTTTAATTTCAAGCTAATAGATTTAATATTTTCGAATGGTTTCTGCTATCATCTCTATCCTAGATCCCCACACAAAATGTGGACCTGATGGTATTCCTGTAATAGTCATTAAGAACTGTGCTGCCGAACTGGCTCCTGTTATCTCTAAACGGTATAATAAATTCCTTGCTGCCTCTTGCTTTTCTGCCTGCTGGAAGTCATCGTCAGTTGTTTCAGTTTCCAAGAACTCTGGTGAACCATCCAACCTTTCTAACTATCGGTCGATTCACCTTCTACATCTTTGTGGAAAATTCCTAGAGGCCCTAATCAATGCTAAATTGGTTAAGCATCTTTTTTCAGACAAGCAATATGGCTTTCGTTTCTCCAGGAATGAGTCTATCATGCTCTGGGTAAAAATGAACTGTGTCTTTGGACATCTCGAAAACTTTCGACAGGGTTTGGTTTACAGGTCTTCACAAGCTGAGGAGTTACTCCATCTCCGGACAAATATATGAACTGGGCTAGTCTTTCTTATCAAATTGTGAAATGAAAGTTATCCTGAACGGCAACTCGTCTATATCCTTTCGTGCTAATGCGGATATCCTACTAGGGATTCATCCTTGGTCTTTGTTTTTAATTTTCATTAATGATCTTCCCGATGGCATCAGCTCTCAACTTGGTATCTACGCTGACGACAACCATTTACTCTTGTCTTGATAGTCAGTCTGATCAATTCAATAAGATCAAAATGGCAGCCGATGTCCAAAACGACCCTCAGTCCGTTATTAACTGGAACAAAAGATGGCTGGTTAATTTTAACGCCTCAAAAACTAAACTACTCTCGATTAATCATCTGAGAGACCCTTATCTGCCTTCCATCAGCATGACTGATGCTAACTTCCATGAAAGAGATTCATTGCTCCTTCTCGGGCTAACATTCTCAACTGACATGAAATGGCAATATTATATTGAATTCATTGCTATATCAGCTGCTAAGAAAGTTGGTTCACTGTGTCGTGCGAGACAATTTTTCTCTGCGAAATCTATCCTATATAATTATAAGTCTACCATTCGTCCATGCATAGGATATAGCTACCACATATGGTCCGGTGCTGCAGCTATTTATTTAGAGATTCTTGATAAAATCCAAAGAAGAATCAGCAATATTATTGGTCCTGATCTGGTGTCTCAGCTTCAGTCACTTTTCGACTGCCGTAAAGTTGCCTCCCTGTGCCTTTTCTGTGAATACTTTCATGGTAATTGTTCGGGTGTGCTCTTCCTACTATACCTAGACTTTTAAGTGCAGTACTAGACTAGCATTGAGATCTCATCAATTTACAATTTCCTTGGCTAGATGTAACCGTAAGTTCTATGCTAACAGTTTCTTTCTCGCATTTCTCACTTGTGGAAGTCCCTTTAACCACATAGTAATCTTAAAATATTAGGAAATATTCTACGTAATCTAATATTTTATTGAATTTTAGGTATAGTATTAAATATGAAATCGCTTGTTGAGGAAATGTTAGAAAATTACCAATAAATTTTAAATTTACTATAGTTACCGCCTTTATTTTCTGATAATGTCGTGTATAGACGTCCATATTTACAAAAATTGACACGTTTATACACACACACAAACACACACACACACACACACACACACACACACACACACACACACACACACACACAAAATCTATTCAAAATTCGTTTTAAAATACTGGAGTCGCTGAATGGTAGTAAGATTTTCTATTTATGATTAGTAAATATAGTTTTTACTTAATATTATATCATTTAACAACTACAAATTAATACAGAATTTTAAATGATTTGAAACTTTAGAAATTATTCGAATTAAGATAAAAATTTAATGAAAATAATTCTTGAAAAAATTCATTATTCATCAAAATCTTTTTTTAAGAGGACAATAATGTCCATAATATATCTTATTCATAAAGGCAATTAAAAGTATTTCTAATTAAGTAATGTGTCATTTTTATTAAATTTTCTATTTAACAATTCAGAGCAGAGTTTCGATAACTGAGTGCCCAGTTTTACAAAAGAAACTTCATGATTTAAATTCTACAAGGACTTTTCTTTATAACTAATATAAAAATTAAGCGCTACAAAA